TTTGTAATTTTTTATTTTATTTTCACCTGGAAATGAGCAACCATCATCCAGCAAACTTATATTTAGTTTTAAAGAAAACGATTATAATTACATTACAATAACARTTACTAATTCCGGGATTAAACGTTTTCCGTGATTAGTACAATATACATTATGGTATTTTGTGTTATTAAACGCTTAGGTACGCTTGCCCTCACCGGCAATTTTTTTTTTGATGAATTCAAATACGGCCCTCTCTGCGAGACTGGTTACAAAATAATCAATGTTATTTTTAACGTCAGCTTCGTATTCGGTAACATKCCTGATCAAGTTTATGATGTCAGCCGCGGACGCACCCGGTTCCGATARCAATTTGGCCTTTGCTATCATTTCAAACATCGTTGCATCTGATAAACAGTAGTCTACATCTAGAAASGGAAAAAACGTCCAACTTAACATAAATATGAGCAATTCAAACATATAAACAGTTATAAGGGTATGTGATATACAGATATTTATACTTGGGAAATTTGAAAGTACCTATGTATTTCTATTATTTCTAATGCTTAAGAGTTGCGAAAAAAGTTTGGGCAGTCAGAAAATTTGTGTTAGTTGTAAGTATCTATTTCGGAGCATCGGAGCAATACTAAATATCGACTAGGTAATATATTTTTTTTAGGAAAAAATCTATATCATAAATATGAGTTCCTACATGTGAGTTAAGAAAACAATAGAATATGAGTAATGTAATTTAGGAAAATTAATTATCTATTGATGAGATTTTCAATTTGGTTTGAAGTTTTATTTTACTTTTTTTATGCGATAAATCTCCGCATCATTTATATTTGAGTCATCTTGAGGTCTTTCTGGAATWGTGAAGGATGGTAAGTTCTTGATGGGTGGATTTGAATGAGAAGATATATGCTATGAGGTTTCCTACTATTAGCCTCGTCGTAAATTGATTTTAAGTTAGAATCTATGTTACTCCTAGTTATTACAGTTCCAATTAATAGTCTGGATCAGCGGTCCTCGTTAGGATWTTAGAAAGGGCCGAATATAATTTTTGAAAATCATTTGCGGGCCACTTAATTTTTTTTTTATTATACTTATTTTATTTGTATAACCTTTATAAAATATTTTTACAATAAGCACAATAGATGGAGGGATACATATTGTTTGGCTTAATTGAAAAAAAACTGTTCAATGATAGTAGGTTACTAATTAGTTTTACATTTTGAATGATAATAAGGATCAATATTAAAATGTACAACTGCAGTTCACTGAATTTAGCGAAGAAGGTTGAAGAAACCTCGTAAGTCGAAATTCAAGGGAAATACAAATGAAAAATACTGTTGTGTGCCAAGGTTAGGTAATACATAGATAATAAACGCAATAAACGCGATTAGAAAAAATCATCGAAACGTTTATAAAGCTATTCGTCATTATCCGTCTACATTCGGAGCACAATATGCTCGAATTATCTATAGCTTTTTTTTTTCGAGTAATCGAGGTTTTCACAAGGGAACAGAATTTTTTTGACTTATCAAGGTTTTCAACTTATTGAGGTTTCACTGTAATAAAATGAGACAGGATATTTTGTTAGAAAAGGGTATTGTAGAAAAAGTTCAGGAATGACTCAAACGTTTTACTTGGACTTAGGATTTTAGATTTTAGAATGTACAACTTAATTTTAGAGCGGGTCACATTAAATTTGTTAAAACGCCACACGTAGCCCGTGGGCCGCATAGTGGGGAGCGCTGGTCTGGATAGTGCAGTTGTGTTTTTCAATAAAATTAATTATGCTCTCTTATCATTAATGTCATGTAATGTCTTTAAAGTGAACAWTTTACAAAACATAATCTTTTCACCTAAACTGTCAGTTAATAATTTATGAGAACAAAAACAAACCATAAAACTAAGTGTGTGATGATTTTGGGAAAAATTGAATCATTAAATAAAATGTGGCTTCAAGAAAAATCCATCAAGAAAATCGAAAAATAAATGGATCTAAAAATAAAAATGTATAGTAGCATTTTAAGGACCTCCATGATATAAAACTTCAATTAGTTAAATATAGTATAAATGAAATAATTTAACTGAATCTTTGAAAAATCTGAAAAATGTATTTCTTTTCTATTTAATGAAGTATATTAATTTATTGCTTATGATTCTATTCATAGGGAAAGCCTAATTAATGTACTCAAAGAATTCAGATTTCCAAGTAAAATTGCAAAATTCATTAGAGCTAGCATCAACCAGACAGATATAAAGGTTAAGATAGCATACACAACATCACAGCCCGTGAGAGTGACAACAGGTCTCCGACAAGGAGATGTACTATCACCAGTATTGTTTAACCTGGTACTGRAAAAAATAGTACGAGAAATAAACGTTTCGGAAGGAATTGAGCTAGGCCAGGTAAAAATAGGGTTAATAGCATACGAAGACGATATTKCTCTCTTAGGAGATAATATTGAGATGATAAAAAGTCTAGGAAAGAAACTTATAGAGGCCGTGGAGAATTTAGGATTAACTGTGAATGATGATAAGACARAATACTTGATTGTTAGTCGAAGTAACAGAAATTATGGACTAAAACAACATATTGAATTAGAAGGACATACATTTAGGAATGTATCACAATTAAAATATCTGGGATCAATTATTACTCAAAATAATGAACTTAAGACAGAGGGGTCGTCAAGAATACAATAAGCTAACAAGGGATATTATGGATTAGAAAGAATACTAAAATCGAGGACACTCATTAAAGCGGCCCCTACACGATCAATAATATTGAGTCAGTATAATTGTGTCAATATTTTGTTCAATATTCATTTCACCCAAACCTCTCAATATTATTTCACATTATTCAGTTGAATTCGTTGGCCAGGTCAGGTGTAGTACTGCTGTGTATTACCGCTTGTGATGTTTACGTTGTTTATACTGACACAGTAGAAAGCAGCATTTACCATCTGTTATAAATTATATTATAACTATTTATATTATTATAGTTTTAAAAATGTATCTTAACGAATAACGACACCGAATTAATTTGCATCGCAGTAGAATTTAGATTGAACCAAAAAAAATAAACCCAAACAAAATAAAAGAAGACGTTAGATGAAAGAGTTGTATAAACAGAGAGCGCAATATAGTMATGAAAAATTATTGAACTGTCAACGAATGACTGAACCAGATGGCTATAGGATTTTTTTGCGAATGGATGCTATATCTTATACACGATATTATATTCAAACGTTCAATAATATTGTGTATCCAACTAGGTTTGATTTCTTCAATATACAGGGTRATTTTTTTATCATGAACCACTSATTATTTCAAAAAGTATCAATGTTTTTGAAAATATTTTTTTACAAAGTTTCATGTTGTTAAAAAAAACAACGTTTTTATTAAAAAAATATGTTTTTTAATATTTTTTAACCTTATAATTTTTAAATTTTTTACTTTTTGAATGACAATCTAGAGTTTTAATTTCATATTCCAAAGCAGAATATTCTTCTAAGTATTTTGATTCATAAAAATCGAATTTAGGACGAGTAGTTTATGAGTTATAAGTATTTTAAGTTTAGATAAGCGGAGTAGTGGACAAACATTTTGCGGGGTAACCCCGTAACACTCCACTCCACCAATCTAAACTTTAAATACTTATAACTCATAAATTACTCGTCCAAAATTCGATTTTTACGTATCAAAATACTTTGAAAAATATTCTGCTTTGGAATATGAAATTAAAACTCTAGGTTGTCATTCAAAAAA